TTCTGTGATCTCCAGTATTGCTGCTTTGGAGAATCAAATGAAAATGATTGACTCTGTCATGAACTGTCAGCAGCTGACCACTTTAAAATCCATAGAAAATGGATCAGGGGAGAGTGACCATTTGAGCAATGACTCCTCCTCAGCCGTTGGTGATCTTGAAAGCCAGAGCGCAGGCAGCCCTGCAATGTCAGAGTCTTCTTCCTCCATGCAAGCTTTGTCTCCTGTAAATAGCAATAGTGAAAGTTTCAGATCAAAGTCCCCAGGTCTCAGTAACCAGGAAGAGCCACAAGAAATACAATTAAAGACAGAAAAACCAGACAGTCCGCCACCCGCAACTGAAAATGGAGGCGCATTAGATCTGACATCCACCAACCCAGGAAGACCGGTCATCAAAGAGGAGGCTCCTTTTAGCCTGCTGTTCCTGAACAGAGAACGTGGTAAGTTTAAAAGTACTGTTTGTAATATCTGTGGCAAGCCTTTTGCTTGTAAGAGTGCATTGGAAATTCACTACCGCAGCCATACTAAAGAACGTCCATTTGTTTGTACAGTCTGCAGTCGTGGGTGTTCCACTATGGGTAATTTAAAACAGCACTTACTGACGCACAAATTAAAAGAGCTGCCTTCTCAGTTATTTGAACCCAACTTTACTCTAGGTCCCAGCCAAAGTACTCCTAGCCTGGTCACCAGTACAGCACCTACCATGATCAAAATGGAAGTGAATGGTCACAGCAAGCCGATCTCTTTGGGTGAGGTTCCCTCGCTTCCAGCTGGAATCCAGGTTCCTGCTGCACCAGAGACAGTGATGAGTCCAGGGATCACCCCTATGCTGGCACCCCCCCCTCGCCGGACTCCCAAGCAGCACAACTGTCAGTCGTGTGGGAAGACCTTCTCCTCAGCAAGTGCACTGCAGATACACGAGCGCACCCATACCGGTGAAAAACCGTTTGGTTGCACAATCTGTGGTAGAGCTTTTACCACAAAGGGGAATCTCAAGGTAAGAGGCCAAATAAAGCTGTAAAGGCTCAGGGCGGGGGGGTGGGGGGGGGAAGTTTAAGGCTTGAACTCAGCAGGTCTCAGTGCTGAGCGTTCCTCCCAAAGGCAGGAGAGTAAGGGAGCTTTGAGGAAACGCTTGCTGTATAGCAGTGCTTATTATGCTTCCACCGTGTTGAAGCTAGGGACTGGAAAAGCGGCTGCGCGGCGATGCGAACTTCAGAACGGGTCCTGGCTGTACGTGCACGCACGTTGCGGTTCTCCTGGCAGGCCTGGTGGCACGTGCAGTCAGCTGATGGACGTGTTCCGGCGGTTCTCGTGGACCACCAGCGCGAAATAACCTCGCTGTAAAAACCAGAAATGCAGAGCTTGCTCAGCTCCTTGGGTGCCTCTCAAATTTCCATTTACTGTTCTGCTTCGCAGCCACTGCAGACTAGAAAGCTGTTTCCCACTGATGTACAGCAGGTTGCTACAGGACTGATGCTTCTTATTCCCGCAGTCTGGTTAACCATCGGGACGCAGCCTGGGGAATAAATTTTTACATGTCCTTGATTAAAATCTTAAATTTAGCAAAATAATCGAGGACTCTGACATGAGAGAAAATATTATGAAAATATACAAGATTTAAAAAGGGAAAGGGCAGAAAAAGCCCTCCCATCTCCTAGAAGAAGTCATGCCCTTGGTAATCTTCAGCATGCGAGGACTTCCAGCTTGCATGTGAAGTTATCTAACCTGATGGGATGCGTACTCTTTATTCTTGCGGCGCTGCGTTCGTTTTCACTGCGAAGAAACAAATGCACATTGAAAAATTATGACAGAGCTGGGTTTTCTTTGTATAGGTTGACTGGGCCTTAGAACTGTGTCTTAAGTGGAATTGATTCATTTTCAATGTGAATGAAAAGGCATTTTTTTTAAAAAAAAAAAAAAAAAAAAAAAAAAAAGGCAAGCGATACTGTAAGTAACAGCCTTTCAGGCCGGCCGCCCCAGCAGACCGTGCTAACTCGGGGTTGCTTCTTGTTCCCGTTTGCTCTGCAGGTTCACATGGGGACGCACATGTGGAATAACGCCCCTGCGCGCCGCGGCCGCCGCCTCTCCGTGGAAAATCCCATGGCTCTGCTCGGTGGTGACGCGCTCAAGTTCTCCGAGATGTTCCAGAAGGATTTGGCAGCTCGGGCCATGAACGTTGACCCCAATTTTTGGAACCAATACGCTGCAGCTATCACTAACGGACTTGCGATGAAGAACAATGAGATTTCTGTCATACAGAACGGAGGCATTCCCCAGCTCCCAGTAAGTCTAGGCGGAGGCGCCATCCCGCCTCTCAGTAACCTTACCGGTGGCATGGACAAAGCTCGCACGGGCAGCAGCCCTCCCATTGTCAGTCTGGACAAAGCAAGTTCTGAGACGGGAGCCAGTCGTCCATTCACCAGGTTTATTGAGGATAATAAAGAGATTGGCATAAATTAAAAGCGTTCGCTCCAAATAACTCTTGGACCGCTACTCGACACACCACTTGTCCCGTTCCGTGTACAGCTTCTGAAGCTAAGCATTAGTTTCCTGAACTAAATGCATAGGTTCCCTTTAAAGTCTTACCCCATAGCAGAAATACATAACTTTGTGGCTGCTGAAAAGTTGTCTTGCAAGATCTGCATGGTACTTCTTTCGACAGTGAGTTTGACTGTTACTGAGAACTTTGAAACCTTTTAATTTAACAGAAAGCAAACAAACAAACAAATCATGGGATAACTTTATTAGAAACAGAAAGAGGCTAGTCTACGTCCACTTTGCTTCTTACAAAACTTACTATCACCTGAGAAAGGGGGGCTTCATTACGGCATTCTGTCACACTTATTTGCTGGTTTTGTTCAAATTAGTTAGCAACTTGGACTATGTTTTTAGGAGTCTTAATCTTAAATAAGTGATTTAGTACCCCAATGCTGTGTATTATTACAGTATCCTTGTCTGTAGTATTTATAATGTTAAGATTATGCGGGTAACAGACAATATACTAGCCCCAAACTTAAATGAAGCTTTTGTACTGCAAAATACATCTGGCTGTGTGATTTTTCTTTTTTTTTTTTTTCTTCTTTTCTTTTTTTTTTTTTTTTAAGCGAGTTTTGTTTTACTATAAATAAGTGGTTTATTTCAATGCAGGCAAAATTGTGAAGTTTTATTGGGAAAGATAGCATGCTTTTCATGTGCAAGTACCTGTCAGTAACAAACCTTTTTTTTATTTAAATATTTGTAGCTGCTATGTGGACAGTTGTTCTATTAAATGAAAAAAAAAAAAATGTAGTGTGGATTTTAGCTCAATGATTGGAAAACAAGTTACAGACAAACCTTAGCACCATAAATTATTCACAACATTATAAACAGTTGTGAATAAATATTCCATGTTATCAAAGCTGTACAATAAAAAGGTAATGTTTGTATAATGTGGTTGCAAACTCTTAATTTATACTATTGCACTTTTAGTATTTTGTATTAGGGAGGTTTGTCTATAATTTGAAACTGAACAAAGATGTAAACTATTTTATAAATAGTACTTTGACTTAAGGAATAAGGAGGAGAACCCTGTTGCAGTGTCTTGTTTTGTTTTCAGGTCAAACAATGAGAGATCTCTATTAACTAAGCAGAAAAGCCGCAGAGAACTGTCAGATCCTTAGGAAATATGGGGCCTGCCATTTCTTGAATGGAAATGATTCATTTAACTTTTCTACAAAGCCCACTTAAAAGCGTGACCACCCCCAACAGAATTCTGATACATTTATCTTAGGAGTGTGATATTAATACAAGTCTAGGATAGAGGAAGGAGAGCATCGTGGAGGTTTAATTTTACTGTAATCTGTTCTGTCTTTCATACATACCCACGAGAAAGATGTTGGCTGCCTAAAAATGTGGGGACAAACCAGTAACTCTCGGGCAGTGTGAGCAGTAGTAACATACAACTATTCTGTATTTATTTCCAACTCGTGCTGATTGTCTTCTCAGATTGCTCCAAAGCACAATGTACTCAGATTAATCGGATATAATTTTGTGTTGATTGCATTGTTTAAATTACACCGAAGTAAATAAAGGGAATGGTTCCACTCGTAAGCTAGGCTGGGGATGCTGAGGAGACTGGGGCTTAATCAAAACTTGAACAGTAAACGTTTTGTGTACTACCTCATTTTTGTGCATTACAAGCATGGTGGAGCTGACACTATGAACTTCCGTCCAGCAGAATTGCTCGAGGGACATTATGGGTAGCTGGGTAACAGCGCAAGGAGTTTTATGCCCCTGAAGAACGAATCAGACAGTGAGGTCTTCTCAGTTGAGACTGAAAAATAGGACAATCTTTCTTCCACAACAAAAACCATTACTGTAAGAGGATGGACTATTTCAGCCATCATGTAATGGAGTGAAAAGAGGTGCAAAGACTTATTAACTGTTTGTTTCTATTGGAAATAAACAATGAACTCTACAGCTCCATTTTCTACAGTGATGAGATAGAGATATATAGAAATATATATCTCTCTATATAAGCAAAATTATATATCTGTAACACCTCTACAATATAACATCTTTTTTGCCACAGTGTGTGGGTGGTTAGGGGTGTTTCCAAGCATTGAAAAAAAAAAAAAAAAAAGAAAACTGAGGTGGCTTAATGTTGCTGTATTTCAGCAATTGAATGTTTTTATTTATCTGTGTCATTTTTGGTGTGACTTTTTTTTTTTTGTTAGTATTGGGTACCATGTAGTGTTATCTCTATTCCCTAAAGGATGTGTATAACTTAAAAAAAAAAAAAAAAGAAAGAAAAAAAAAAGAGAAGAAAAAAATGAAAAAGGTAAAAAAGAAAAAAGATGTAAAGTGTTGTAAATAAGATGGTTGATGATGGTACAGTAAGACTGACCCCATTTTGTATTCAGGGTTAGGTCATTCCTCTCTGCATGGTGAAGAGAGACATTATTTTTATACTGCGATACCATGTAGGGCTAGGAGCCTCCCTGAACCAGCTGGGAATTGTTACCTAGATCCAATATTTTTTATTATTAAATCTTGTTGGCTTGACACATCTACTGATTGAAATGGATGTCTTAGTCTAGGTTACTATTTTTGTCATATGGAATTGAATAAAATGCAGGATGTAATATTATTTCTGAATTGCGTTCCTTGATTATTCTAATAACAGAGCAAGATATGAGACTAAGGTCACTTGTGGTAGATTGGTGTCAATGACTTCTAATCGTCGCATCTGAAAATCGGAATAAGGTCGACACCTTGTATTCAAATGCTATTCTAATATATATTAACAGTGCAAAGGGGTAGAATTATTAAAATCTCTTTTCCAGTAAAAATAAATCATAAGAGCATTTCTTGCAAGACAGTAGGACAACAACAACAAAAAAAAAAAATGCAAACCAAACAACCAAACCAACATTTTGGGGGGGGGGGGGAAACAGCCTTTGGAAGGGCTACTGTTTCAAATTGACTGCTTTCTGAACACTTATAATGTACTATTTACCAAAAAAGCCTCCTTTTCATGTTGTTTAAACATCTGCCTAATATTCACAATACACTGCATGATAAAATTTGGGAACAAATTTATCAGGAGCAGTTAAAATTCTAAATTACAAAAAAAAAAAAAAAAAAGAAAAAATTGACAACTCGCATCCATTCATTCCAAATGACATAACCTGTACATTTAAACCCATGGCTTTGTTTCTTCTTTTTTTTTCAAGACCCTAATTTATTAAAGCATGTCTAACTTGAACCAAATTATTTTTTCACGTTGATTTAAATGAAAGTATTTACATTCTTAAGGTTAGGCATGTGATTAAGTATCTCTTGCAAAAAAGCTGTATGTTTGAGTAACCTTCAAGCTGTTATAATCCGGTGATGAATGCCTGCTGCATTTAAAACGGACAAAAGATAAATAAAAGAGAAAAAATCTGTATTAATCATCTTTCAGTGGCCTTGTTATGAAGACACTCTGTTTTATAAGACCTACACAAAGAAGGAATGAGTTTCCTCTGGTGACTCAACAACCACAATAGGTTTGTGCTTGTGTTCCTGCGCACACATCCCTGAGCCTTGCTGAGAGAAAACATGATACGCAAAAGAGAAGGAAAGCAAGGGACGCTGATAGTTACGGGTCTGTTCAAAACACAAGAGGAAAATTACCTGCCTTCCTCTCCTCTCCCCCAAAAAAGGGTGAAAGTGGAACGGTATCTATTTTTAAATACGTATGGGTTATTTTTTTTTATTGCAGGACGACATTAAATAATAAAATGTGCTACACAGATAGAAATGGTCAAAGTCTGCTGAATTACAGATGTTTAAGAACAGAGCCATGTAGGAACTCTATACAATCAGAAAAATTGCCAGTTACAATTTTTTGAGCAGAGGGTTATTTTACAACATCAAAATTCCAGCAAGGCTTTCAAACTCTTCACTTACATTTTTTCCATGAATCATTAGAAAGAGAGCATTTATGACAAATGATTGACATTACTAGGCTTTTGCCCTTTTTTTTTTTTTTTTATTTCTGCTTGTATATATTAGCCCTCGATACACTATCTGCTCCTTCACCTATTTTGTCCTTTCTATCTTGGCAAATACTTTGTTTTTCTAAGGCTGCATTTGTGCTGTATTTGTGTTGCCTTTCATTTACTTCTCTGCACGTACTCCGTCATTTGGAAGATCCTGTGGTTTATTTTCTTCCTTTTTTCTCTAATTCTGCAGAAGTCAAAAGAGCTGCCTGTTTTTTACATCTATGTGTAATAGTAGCGTAATGAATGATGAGCTCATCAGTGACGTGATCAGGTACGTGCGTAGCTCACAGGATTTGCTAACGAACATGCCGTTGGCGCTCTTCCCTCCCGCTGAAGGCGTGAAGTTTGTTAGCGTCGCTGGTCTAGGGCAGCCACCGATGGTCGGGGGGCTGGAGGTCCTGCCCCTAACTTCGCTGCGCCTGCTTTTACACCATTGAAACTCTGTGGCTTTGGTGGAAACACTGCAGGTTTACACTGGTGCCAGAGGGAATGCTTCCAGATTCAGACGTCTTGCTTTGCTTTGTGTGTCATCAAAACAATGGCTAGCTATATAGGATATTAAAAGTATGTCTAGGCAAAAGTATTCTGGACTTTTATTTTTGAAAAGAGGGAAAGGAGAATACATATATTTTAGTACGTACCACAGGATTATCCCAGTTTTAAAGGAGGTCCTAAAAGCTGAATCTGAAAAAAAGATGACTGTGCCCCTTAATATAGAATTTGATGTCATCATATGAATAATCAGTCCTTTTTCACATTAGAGAGTAAAAGAACCTGCAACTTTTATGCATAAAAGTAGAATGTGAGAATGTTGCTATGGCTCTGCTACACAAGGTAGGCACTCACAGCCTTCCCTGTGCAGATATTAAAGGTATCAGCAGATATATGAAAAGAAAAATACATGTTTGTGCATGTCGCAGCACCAATGTATAGTATTTTATTTTTTCAGAAGGGAGAATGTCTCAGTCAGTCGGCAAAGTGACAAATGTGAAAGCTAGCACCTTCGGGCTGTGTCACTGACGTATTTTAGGGATGTGGGCAAGTCACTAATTAGACTCTGATTCTGCTTGAGAACTACATCCTTCTGGGGCCTCTGGGAATCAGGGAGTGACCTCTCCCTTGTAGAGTCAGCTAGCACCTTGTAGTATTGGGATGAGTTGCCTCACCAGTAAAGATGGGGTAACACTTTTGCACCTACCTCACAGGGGTGTTGTGAGGAATAGTTTTATGTTTGTACAGCGTTTCGGAGATGGAAGATGCTTGGTATTATCGCTGATTTTAGAGAGTTTACAGTACATGTACTATTATTTATTATTTGTACTCCAGTAGTACCTACAGGCTCCAGTCAGGACTGAGAGGCCTTATCCTAAATGTTGTACGCTCACCTACTTGGGACTGATACACGATTTTACTCAGTAACATTTTCCAGTGGAGGTCTTTCATTATCAAGTGTCTATCTGATTACTAAAGGGTTTAATTCAATTATTTAGGTGTTCAAATGGATTATCGGTTTTAGACCATGACAGAGAATTACCTGGTACCACATTTTGTTTCGAGCTTGCCGTGATTTTCAGAAAAAGTGCACCAATTTTCTATGGATAATCTAGAATCAAATCTTGCTATCAGTGGAATTCTACTGTACATTTTGCTATTAAAGCTAAACGTTAAAATAAATGCGTGTGTATATATTATTATACACCAATATATAATATACATGTACCTATAAACATGTATGTCTTAAGTTTCTTTAGCTGCTTAGAATTAATTACAAACTGTGTGCTGCATATTTTGCTCAAGCGCTATCCACTTCAGATGCAACTAAAACATCATTAAATGGTGTTGGCCCTCAGTAAAGTCACAAAAACTGGAAATAATGACAACAAAAGACATATTGTCACTATGATTATATTTATGAAGGCTTTTGAGGACAGTTTCTAAGTCTCAAATGTGTTAAAAACCTTCACTAAGTCTTAAAAGTCTTTACTTAGATTATGTTGAAACAAACTATTATATCAGGATGAGCCACTCACTGTATATAAGTATGTTAAAATAAATAATTAAATGATTCCAAAGGTAATGTTTGCTATCATTTGGACATTGGATAGAAAGTAATTTGTTTCCCAGATTGGCAAACAGTATTTAGTATTTTTTTACAGGTAAGAATTCTATGTTAAGCAACCTATTTAGCAACTGTTCATGTGCTAAATATATTAGCTCAATTTATTCTGTGGATACTTGCACCTTTTTTACTTGAATATAAGGAAATTTCTTTGTTTAGCTTTGTCCAAGATGTCCTCAGTGATGTTAGGCTCACTGATTTCACTCGGACATGTCATGGAGTAAAGGTACTAGTGACGCTGGGTGAATCTAGTCTAAAGAATCTCTTTCTTTTCCCTCTGGGAATTATTGACACCTCTCCACCAGGCCATTCTGGTTACCAGCCAATATGTCTGTAAGCTGTTGACTTTCTTGTGTGTCAGTTAGCACTCATGGCTCAGCCAGTTTTGTCAAACAGTTGGCACTTGTCCTGCTACAACACACACTTCATATGGGACCTATAGATATACTAACATAACTAACGTATTTAAGATAGGCTGGTGTGGAGGGTGTAAGCAAACACCTATGTGGGAATTCCTATGCCACTACCTGTTGCGTGCAGCAAAGAAAATGTGCACATAAAAGGATGTGGTCACCGGGAGATGTGGACATGTTTCCACTTGTTTTCTGTTACTTCATACTCTGAATAATGTGTCTGATATAGAGGGTTTGCTTTGGATTTTTGCTTTTTTAAGCATTCCTAGTAAGAACAGTTATAAGCAGATACCTCAAATGGGAACACACCTTTTCATGTAAGAGTTTTGTAGGCAAAACTTGATTGGGACTTGCCTTTTCTTCTCCCTATTTTTTATTAAATTACTCTTCCCAACAGAGCTTTCTAGATCACTTCACAGTTAGAATTCATTCTTTCACCTAGGTTTTACTCCGCCATCATCCCATTCCAAACAGGTTTGCTGAACCAAAGGGACTTAGATTAAGACACTAGCTGATGAATGTAATGGGTAGCAGAATTAGGTTCCCTGTGCCTTTTGGAAATTTGTTTAAAAGAAAATTCAGTTAAATCTTCAAACAGTTGCGTATGTATCTTGCGTCGCTGAATGTGACGTCTCTTTCAACGTTTGGAACAGCCTGGCCCAGACTGTGGTACTGTCCCTTGGACTGGGCAGCCCAGTGCTCCACTGTTTGCCCTAAGTGAACTAACAACAAGTGCCAACTAGCATTACTCATTGAAAGGAAATTTTTTACATATGTTATCAAGCATCCTATCACAACAACTGCAATTCCAGCCTCACAGAAGGCAGATTAAATGAGGCTAGTAGTCTCTGCAGCCTACATCTTTCCTCTTCCCCAGCCCTTACTATCTCCACGCAGCAGTTTGCCAGTGTTTCTTTTGTGATAATGTGTCTTCTGTTTCTCTTCTACAAAGTAGCGCTTCTGTGCTCATTTCTTTGGTTTCATTGTCTTCCCGGATATGGCCATGTTCTTCACATGTTTCTTTCAAGGTAGTGTTAGATTTGCCCAGTGCACGCGTCTGTCCTTGTGTTTTGTTGAGATGAATCTCCTTTAACTTCTGGGGCCAGGTCGTGTTGTCCCTACTCACATCTCCACCTAATTCCAATTAATTTCTCTTGTTGGGACTATGAGTAGAAGATACTACACAATATAGCAAAATCCAGCACCCTGAAACTCAGAATAACTTCAAAATGTTGGTCCAGATGGGATTACTGCACACTCACATATTAATGCATTGTTTATTAGCCTCAACTTTGTGTCTGTTATACATATAACTAGTTCCACATTTCGTTCCTTTATATATGGAGGATCTTTCTGGCTGATCTTGGTTTTCCATACTTGTTAAAAATAAAAACATACTAATTTTTCTCAAAACCTGCATCAAAATTACATTTATTCAGTGGCAAATGTTTTCTATGCAACAAGCAAATTGTAATAAGGAATAACCAAACTTTGCTATTATTTCAGTAGAACTACTCCCATAAAATTCTGAGACTTAAGTAAAGCTCAAATGTAGTTTTTTTAAGTAGTTCTTTTCTTTCTGCCTTTATATCTCCAGTGCAAAGTGGGAGAAAGAGGATCATACATCACATGAAAAGCAGTCAATAGAAATATCATAACAATAGCAGTGCTAAGCACAAACACGGGCACAGTACCAGAATAAAAGATAACAGAAAATATAAGAATTTGAGATACTGGCACCAGATTTTAAAAATATATATAATAAAGAAGCAGAACCATACTCCTACACATCTAACCACAGATTTCCCTAATAATCACAAGCTTTATTTTTTTCGCAAGGATTCACTTCTCTGAAGTCAACAAGAGCATCTGAGGGGAGCCAAGCAGTGTGCCCCTAGGTGCAGCTTTTCATTAGATTTTCTCATCGGCTCAGGAAATGTTTATTCTGATTTGACAAGTTCACTTGTTAAGGTGGGGGGAACTCCTGAAACCAGAAGGATCGTCTAGTCAATGTCAGTGTGAGTAACTATCCCAAGCATCTTTCCAGTTTACTCCTACTCCATGGTCTTAGAAAAAAATGGAATATTTTAGTATTTCTGAAGCTTAATGTAGGGCTCCAAAACAGGAATGAAAATGACCCTTAGCACATCCTGATAATTGTGGCTATAAAAGGCCTCATTCTAATCTCTAATCCAGCACAGATACTCTAATTTCTACAGAATGACTCCCGATTTATACTGGTATGAGCAAAATAAAATGGCTGTAGTGTCCGTATCATCCCTTTTTCAGCAGAGCAAGACACCCGATTTTTTTTCTTGCACCATAAATTTTTCAGAGCACTTTTCCTGTTACAAGTCACAGTACATACTGGAACAAACATGCTGCAACCGAGGTATGTCTACACTAGTGTATGTAACAGACCCAGGCCCATTCTGGAGGCCACCTGGCCCGGCAGAAGTTCAATACATACCAGTTCAAACCTTTCACTCCCTTGAAAGAGGACAGTTATATCCAAAGCAAATATTGGGATTGGCCCTTGGCCTCCAAATCCTGCCTGGGCGTTGTGTGGGAGCGTGTCCCTCAGCCTGTGCCAAAACTGCCCAGGAAGGTGTTGCTGGCTGGTGGGACAACCACTGGCCTCCGGCACTGGCCCTGCTCAGCGCGAGGCGGCAGGCAAAGCCTGCGAGGGCAAACGTATATCCCGAGGAGGAAAATGTGCTTTCAGGTGGAGCCGTTTTCCATCATGCCTTCGCGCAGCTATTCTTTTAAAGTCACTGAAATTGATTCTTTATCAGACCACTCCTTTCGGCGCCTTTCTCTCTTGCTGTTAGGAACTTGTCTCCTCCGACGTGGTTTCACAGTTCACATCTCATGCTCCTGGGAATCTGGGCTTCTTCCACCGACTCTCGCGTGTGAAGAGAGAATCACTTCTTGTAGGTTTTCTGAGGGGTTTCTCTAGATTCACTGAAGCTGGCAGAACACCTTTTAGGACCTGTTTATTCGCTATTTTATCTAGGTATGTTATCTAGCTCATTCTTGTTCCAGCATAAGAATATACACATGGTTATTCAGGAATAATATTTCCTGAATACTTGTGTAGACAGAGTAGTCCCTTAAGTAATGAGTTCAATTAGGGTAAGATACACTATGTAGCAATTCAATAACAAAAGTCCTGGGAGGTAGGGGGAGAAGAGGCCTGCCAACTGCTTACACACAGTATGCTGGATGACGACTAAAGACTTCGTGCTGTGGCATATTTGGCACATGCTGGCCTACAGTTATGCCTAGCAACTCCCAAGGTTTGAGCAGCTCCTTACTAAGGTTTTAATTTGGAGGGGGGGGGGGGAAGCGCATAGTGTGCAAATT